TCCCTCCCTCCTTCCCTCCCTCTTCTGTCCCACGGAGAGAAAAAAAATGTTTTCAGTGTAGGTTTCGGGAAAAGTTGAAGGCGAGGGCTGGTTTTTTCAGGACTTAGAAACGTGGAAATCTGGAAAGACGCCTTTGGACAGGTCTGGTTCCGTTGGAGCCTTTCTTGCAAATGGCTGGAAAATCGAAATAAGAATAGGGAAGAAAAGTTCTGGGCGGGTGCCGAGAACGGATTTTTACGACTTTTTACTTCAGTGGTTCTCAACCTTTTTAATGCCGCGACTCCCGACCGGTCGTAAGTCGAGGACTAAACCGGTCGTAAGTCGAGGACTACCCAACTGGTCGTAAGTCGAGGACTTTCCCTGCCCGGGAGCTCCGCGCATGCGTGGTTCCACCCCCTGCGCCGGCCGAGGCGTAGCTGGCAAGCGGCAGAGACGGAGCAGGCCGACCACCAGCTGGCCCAGCTCAAGGGAGGTAAGGCACCTGCCGGAAAAGGGGGAAAAAATGGCGGACAGCCTTGCTTGGCGACCCCCGTGGAATGGTTGATCGACCCCAAATGGGGTCGCGACCCATAGGTTGAGAACCGCTGTTTTAGTTGTTTATTTTCTCCCAGCCAAATGAGAATAGTTTCTTCCTATTTGGTTCCCTCCAGATAACTGGATTATCCTTCAGTTCCTATGATTGCCATCTGCAGTTTTCAGCTATGCTTTTGGGCAGTGCTTTTTTTCTAAAAAAAAAAAAAAAAGGTGCCGGAACTCATACACGTCATACAACCCGCCTTGCCTACCCTGCAAGGTTCCTTCCAAAAAAGGTGCCGGAACTCCGTTCTGGGCGTTCTATGAGAAAAAAAGCCCTGCTTTTGGGGAATTATGACATTTCTAGGGCATCTGAGCCCTACTAAGTTAAGCAGTGTATATTAAGGTGAAAAGGTTTTTTACATCAATTAAAGTGTCCGTCATATATGGGTTTTCTCTACAGGGGTGTGTGAAAAGCAAATGTCATAGACATGTATGTAACTATTTACATTGGTACTCAAGAACATAAGAATGGTACTTATAACTCCAAGCATGTTATCTTTGTGGTTTGGTGCAGTTACTGGTGTTTTCAGTAGGAATGTACAATAGTGCCTAGGTATCTTCAGAGACAGGCTTAGAGTTCACCTGTCCTGTACTCCATCAGAGGTTTTTTTTTGATTGGCATGGGATACAGATATTGTAAAATAAACATTCTATGTGATACAAGGGATTCACATATTAAAATGTTAACTGTCTGGCCTGTGCTTGAAGAATTTCAGATTTGTTATATATGTGTTTGTATATGTGTGTGCGCGCACACTTGTATACGCATATATACACATACATAAACATAGTCAAATGAAGGTGGCAAGCATACCTAATACTTCTGCTTCCTATTTTCCCCATAAACACAATTCCGTGAAATAGGTTGGGCTTAGACAGGTGAGTGAGTGACTCAAAGCCACCCACCCAGTTTTCAAGCTTAGGAGAGGCCTAGAATTTAGAGTCTCCTAGTTTCTAAACCAGCATCTTAACTAATGTTCAAATGAAATCTATGTGCCTGAATCTTAGGTCCATTTGATCTTCATCTAAATTTATAGTAGAAAAAACAGTTTTTCCTGGCGCTGGTTGTAATCCATTTATTATCTAAAATTCTGATAAATTAAACAATTTTTTTAAAATATATTTTATATTCTGACTGTATGCTTTCCAGGTCCCATCTTGCTTACACATTTGCATTTGTTTGTTTATTTATTTAATACCCATCTCCCTAATAAAGCAAGTTTGTATGGTTTACAGATTGTAAGCTTAACCAGGATAGTTGACACGAATAATTCATAGACTTTCAAAATTTGTACTTTATAATATCCTAACTGACTGTACTTTTCTATGTTGGATTAGACAACCTGTTTGATTCCAATATTATCCATTCAGTGATGTTCATGCATAGAGTTTACGTTTATGTTGCTTTAAATATGTTGGCAGTAAAAAAATTTCTTAGCAACTTTATTACACTGTGTTATTACTTCCTGAAGGCAATCTCAGCTCTTATACAAGTAAACACGGTTTGTGGCATTTATTGTACTGATGGCTCCTTGATATTTTACGAGCTTTCTAAATGTGCTTCCAAAAGTCAGAATCACATAAAAATGCAAAAAGCTCTATCTACAATTAATTTGTCATAAGTTTGCTTTTCTTAAATTTTGTAGAAGAAAACTAATGCAGTATACTTATAATGATATTTAGAATAGAATAGAACAGAATAATAACTTTATTGTCACTTTAAATGTACACTAATCAACATACATTAAAATGAGATTTCGTTGCGTATAGCTCTCAAAGGATAACCACCTCCAATATATACTGCATGAACATGACAATAAAAAATGAAAGAAAGAAAGAAAAAAAGAATATACCCACATATAATGGCCCAGAGAAACAACACAGTCTAGTTCAGATGTATACATATACATGGTGAGAAAAACGAATCTTGCGAATTTACCAGATGGATTTGAAAGAAAATTTTAATTCAGTTGACCTGTTTTGGTGTTTGGAAAAAAATAACATACGGTATTATTTAAGTACTTTGTATTATCTTCGTTTTTTAGGAAAGAGAAATTGGTCATTCTACAATTTTCTCAGCATCAATAAAAAAAATTATGCCTCTAGAGGGCAGCACACTACTTTTCTATAAAAGATACAGTAGTAATACAACAGACAAAATTGATCTGGGATTTTGTTAGAAGAAATAATTTTTAAAAATACTGCATTTCTGACAGCAAGTTCAAATGCTATGCTTTTAAAAATATCAAATGAGGTTACTATTGGGAAAATGCTTTAAACTGACTAATTAAATATAGACTAAAATGTATTTTGCTTTGTAAGACAATTTGTGTATATTCACATAAAATTATAGTTGTGAGTTTCATGTGATTATTGGAGCACTCCTGCCCTGCCCTGCCCTGCCTTTTTGATGGGCATTGTATAGTGGATCTGAAGCTTGGGCTTACATCCTGGTGCAGACAAGTACATATACAGTCCAAGTAATTATAAGTAAAACTTCTATTTGTATTCTGATTGTAAAATATATCATCAGTAAATGAATCACATGATCATTAAGTGAATCGTGTGGTCATTAAATGAAGCAGTTTCCCCAATGGGTTTTGTTTTGCCAGAAACTGGCAAAAAAGGTTGCAAATTGTGATGACATGATCATAGGATATAGCAGCGAGTTGCAAATGTAAGCTGGTTGCCAATCACATGAATTGTGATCATCCGAACATGGTGGTGTGACAGTCATAAGTATAAGTACAGATTGTAAGGTACTTTTTCTGAGGTCATTGTATCTTGTTAAACGAATGGTTGTAAGTGAAGGAATACCTGTAACATTTACTGCCCCGTACATTAATGCACATGTATAGCCTCCCTTGCTCAACCTAATCCTGTTCCATCTCTGAAATCTTGCAGCAAGGAGCACGCTGTTTTCATGTACTTAATAGAAAACATTATTCACAGTTTTTGCAAAGTAGGACATATGGCTGCTGTTTACCTATTTCTCAAGCTGCATGCTCAAATTTAAAAATGAAGCCTTTGGACAGAATTAGATAGATGTAATATGCTTCACATGAGAAAGCAATTATATAATTATGCTGCAAGGCTCATTTTGAATTCATTTGGTATGGTGGTTAATATAGCCTTGCTCATTGAAGTCAGTAATCATCCCTCATCATTACCTACAACAGAGTCAAGTGTATTGTTTGTACATTAGAGTTTAAGTGTGCTTATTTAGAAGTCCCACTGATTTAGGTTATCTTCTTTTCTTTCAATATAAAAATTAAGTCATATGAAAAGAACTGGTAATTTTTAGTGAAGGTGTGAAATTTTGTAATCTTACTCTTAAGTGCGGAGTAAGGCATTTAAATCTCAATATTTTAAACATCTGGCTCAAAGCTATGTTTCTAATTTATTTTATAAAGCTAGGTGAAAAGGACTAGCTTGTTCTGAGATTTGACAGGCATATAATGAAGTTTCCTATATGAATTATATTATGATGTTTGGAAATTCCTTTCTTTAGAAATATAATGTAATAATAATAAATAATATCTATTATTTTAATATTCATTTTGTGGATCAAAATGCCTTTAAAAAGTCATATTTTGTGATGACTCCTCCGGACACTTCTCCAGATACCTCTCCAGAAGTCAGCTCAGAGAAGGATGAACTCCCCAAGTCTGGAGGGGAGTTGGTCAATGGCTCCAAGCAGGTGTCTGAGAAGGGAATTGCTGGGGAATATTAATAATATTAATAAACCCACTAAACCACTGTTTTTTATGTGTGTGAGTGTGTGGGGCAGCACATATTTGAAACTGGTATCCTAAGCATAAAAGCTTCTCATTGTAATTCATGTAATGTGGAATAGAATAAAACAATGGCTGAGATATAAACTGTTATGATACTAAAAAGGAAATTAATAGAAAAAATATAGCTAAAGAAGATACAACCATTTTTGTGGTGGCAACTCAATTTTTTTAACTTGATTGATATTTTCAGCAATAGATTGTATTATTTAGGTTATATCAATGCCATTTGGAAAACTATATTGCAAAGCCACAAAATATCTTGATGCAATTAGAAATAAAGAAAAGTTTCCCCAGGGAAACTTACTTACTACTAAACACATTTTAACCATTGGTCAGATAAATAACGTGTTACAATGGCATTTTAGAAAAAAAAAATGGTATATTTTAAGCAAACAATGGCTATTTTATGCATTTAGAATAATGGACATACAGTATATACCTTAAAGAGCTGTGATGGCCCAGTGATTAGAATTCAATATTGCAGGCTAATTCTGCCCACAGCCAGGAGTTTGATCCTGACCTGTTCAAGATTGATTCAGTCTTCCATCCTTCCAAGATTGGTAAAATGAAGATCCAGATTGTTTGGGGCAATATGCTGACATTTGTAAACTGCTCAGAGAATGCTGTAAAGCACTATGGAGTGGTATATAAGTCTAAGTGCTATTGCTAAGTGCTTAATTGATACAATGTGGTAACAAACATTAATCTTTACATATTTCTTAAAGGTCTTAAAGATCTTATAAGGAGAAATCACTTAGTTATAAGCAGTTCCTTTTAATTTGAGGCATGAGATTAATTTGAAATCTGAAGAATTAAAAAATTATAAAACATTAATGTTTATGTTATTACACCTTGCTTGCTTTTTAAATTGCTTTTTCCCGTTAATGTCTGTTTGTGTAAATCCATTTTTTTTACATTTTCTTCATTTCTTTTGGGTGTGGTTTTGTGCTATAGGTTGGAAAGCCCAAACTGAAGGACGCTGCAAGCAATCATCTGCCTCTGTGTTCGGCATATCATGATAATTGGCTGCTTAGAGAAGATGAGCACAACAATGAACATTACATCCTCCAGAAGAACGTGAATGACTACAAGGTTAAAAAAAAGTTGTATTTAATTGTGTACAGAGTTTAAAGGGGGTTACAATAAGACTTGCTATTCAACCAAGTTACTGTGCTATTTTTATATTGAACATAGGAACTGACATCTTTATTTTTCATGCTTGGAACTTTCTACTTGTAAATACATTGTTTTATCACTACAGAATTTGAGATAAGCATGAAAGAGACAGACCATTGCAATCCATTCAGAAATCCAGCTGATTACATAAGTAATAGAGTTTTTTTAAAATAAGAAAGTACATGTCCTCTCTGAAGAATCTGAATTTATAAATTTTATTTAACATTAAAAAAGCAGCTATTTCCTTATTTCTTTTAAACTTTTTAATACTTTGAAATATAAATTGACATGGATTACAGTACAAATATAAAATTGCAATAAATTAATTATAAATTAAAAAAAGATGGGTGAGCCGGTTTGACATAATGATTAAGGCATCAGGCTAGCAACCTGGAAACTCTTGAGTTCTAGTCCCACTCAGGCACAAAGCCAGCTGGTTGACCTTGAGCCAGTCACTTTCTCTCAGCCCTGCAAAGGAGGCAATGGCAAACAATTTCTGAAAAGCCTTGCCGATCTCTGAGAACTGGACACAGTTAAACAAAAGGAGAACAGAAGGAGGAAGAAAAGTTTAAAAAAATAGCTAAAAAATCTTATAAAAATATATTGTAAAGCTTTAAAAAAAAAAGAACAAGGCTTTTAAATAAGAGTTGGTCCCTCAGTTTAGCAGTTCTGGATTCAAAAACAGGCCCAAACAGCATATTCATTTCTGTTATGTGTAACTGCAAAGAATGATGGATGCTCTATTCCGGATCAAACAAGTGTTGGAGTAACTATGGCTTGATGATTTTACAGAGTAATAGATTTGCATGTCATTAGTATAGCCTCCCTTTGATTTCCTGTAAATATTAAAAAGTACTGAATACAAAATTGGAGACCAATGCTGCTGTATCATGCAGTTGTATTATCTAAGCAAACACTTTCTGAATATCTCTGAAAAGCTGGATTTGAACACAGCAAAAAAGTCTAGAAATCTAAAATATCATTGTTTATGGTAGCAAAAGATGATGAAAGATCAAGAAAAAACAGATTGCTTATAACTGACCAGTCTTAACTTTGAAGCTAATGGTTACGATAATCTATGTCATTTGAGATAGTGAGCACTATTCAATCGTTTTATCCAACTATGGGAAGTTAGAGATTTGTCTACTTGCCTGAGGTGTAAGAATTGCCTCTTTCAAAGAAGGAGACATCCTATAATTTCTGAGGGAATAATTTATGATATTAACTAACATTTCTCTAATTCTTGCTAGGAATTACAAAATATATTAAACAAGCATCAAGAAGACAAATTACTTCCAATAGTATATCCCTATTTTTGAGCATTTCTTTTTAGTGAAATCTGTTTGCTTATGGTTGTACTTCAAGATGATGTTATAATTCAGTGTGCCTAGATTTGAAACATTAGAGTCTGAGTAGAAAAATTAAAAGTTTTATAAATAGAGTTCTGTTTTCATCAGTTTTAATTTATCTATACTTCTTTGGGGTTTGTCTTTTTAGAAACTGCAGGAAGAAAATATAAAAATAAAGAATGAATTGAAAGACTTAAGGTACTGCTACATATTAGCTATATATAAATCAAAACTGATTTGATATATTAAAAACTAGATGTTGAAATTAGGTAGAAGATTCTGAGAAATCAAGAGAATGAAATTGTTAGGTTGCCTAGTTTGAACTAGGGATTTGTTACATAAATACTTAAAAAACTCAGATAAAAATCTTTACTACACATTAGAACAGACATGTCAAACTGCCGGTCCTCGGGCCAGATGTGTCACACCAAAACTGCGCTCACCCCATTGCCGGCAATGGGGAAAAAGTCCTGACATGTCACGCGATGTCACATAATGTTGCAAGTTTGACATGCCTGCATTAGAATGAAGCTGTTTAAAGAATATGGGGATGTTCTCTATCAACATGGGGATCCAGTTCATTCTTAACAACCATTGCAACTGGTGCAGTTTTTCCCTATCTTTCCCATAGCTAAACAAATGTCTAGCAATTCTTAAAACTGATAATTAAATAGCAATTGATTGTTGATGTAATTGGCATTTTTGCTTGGAGAACAGTGTATATCCTAAAGAACTTCTGTTCTCCATTCTAGGACAAAGCTGATAAAATCGCCTTGAACCTTCCGTATCTTCCATATAATAGCTCATGTCTTCCCCAGACATGAGGGAAGTTTACTCCCACTAGGAAATGTTAAGATACTAGCAGATTTTTAAAGAAAGTCTAGGTTCCACAAGACAATCACTTATTTTTAGTACAATAAAATGTAGAAAAACTTTCAGAAAAAAAGTAGTACGGTTTTTGAATGATCAACTCAAAAAACCCCCAATAATAAATATGTAATATAACTACAATTTTTGGATCAATTTTAATGGATGTGTTAAAAGTGATGCTTTTTACATCACTTTTAACACATCCATTAAAATTGATCCAAAAATTGTAATTATAGTACTAAAGGTCAGTAAAGCCTTATGTGAGCTTTGAAATTATTTTAAGAAATATATTTTATATTTTAGAAACCAATACGAACAGCTTATAGAAGAAGGAAAGAACAAATGTTTTGATGAAAGACGGACCAGTTTTTTAAAGGCTCAGGCACTACAACTGGAAAGGCAGGTAATACTATATATCTTTGTGAAACACCTGCAGTTAATTTTATATAAAAGATTTGAAAGCTGCCAATGTTTAGGAAACTAAAAAGCACTTTTCTGAAATTGTGTTTTGAATTATCTAAATATAGATAGATAAAACATTATTTTAGCGTATTCTAATCATGGAATGAGTGTTTGGAGAATTTTAAACTCAGAACAAAAGGTACATTTTAAGAGTATTCTGATCTTGGAGCAAAACTTAATTTTGTATTCTAGATCTTCTAAGTGCTGCTGCTGAGCTTTTTAATACCTTCTCATCAGCATTTCTTCCACCTAACCAGTAAAACAGTAGGGCTGTGTTGGGTCATTGCTGCTATAAGTTTACACTGGATGGAGTGAGGTGGCAGGTGTTGAGCGGAGCAAAGCAGTTAAACACGTGATAAAACAGAAGACTGCTTTCAACTATATGGGAATCTGTAAACAAACTGCAATTTAAAAAAAAACAAAAACCCAGCTCCTATGGGGAAATTAGCATTCATATGGATCTATGAATGGATAGTATGATGGTTGAGAAATAGGAAATATAAATAAGTAAATAAATGTGTTAAGCTGGGCTTTATGCAGAGAGGTGTGTGTATGTACTACAGGTACTCCTCAACTTACAACTGATAATTTAATGACCATTTACAATCATGGAATGGATGCTTTATGACCCGTAAAGCATTTCTGGTCATCACAAAACATTATGTTGCCCTCCTCTTGGTCACATGACTCCATTTTGAGCACCTGGCAAACGGTTTTCATTTATGACTGGTTGCCAAGTGCTCTGCAATCATGTGATCACAATTCATAATCTTCTCTGCTGGTTTCTGGGGAAGCTTCTGGAGGATTTGAATCCATTTCCCAATCTGCAAAGGGATTTCTCCTCCTCTCTGTGCAGGAAGGGGAAAAACTCCTGCACAATGCAGGTCCTCAGATCTGGTGGAGTGAAGCTGGCATTGTGAAAGGCTCTGAGTAGAGCCTTTCAGAATGCCACCTTCAGTAGCATTTTCTCCTCCGGAGAAGAGAAGGACACTAGTGAAAGAGATGGATTCCAGAGGAAAAAACACTACAGGCTCTGAGCCACAGCGTTTCAGAATGCCAGCTTTGCTAACTTTTTATAAATGCCAAATTGTGTAATTTGGAGAAGGAGCCTTCCAAACCATTGCGAGAATGGGGCCTGCACCAGAATGGAGCAAGGAGGTGGAAATATAAGCGGATCCAATGTGGTGGTGCAGGGAAAGGGTCCACATGCTGGTAGATCTAGCTGGTTGACACCTCCTGGCCCACAGGCTTCTGCATGCCAGTGGTACTGGGGCTCCCAGACCCTCCCCTACCCCTGAGGTAGAATTGAGCAAAGCAATCATGTGGAAACCTCGCTTAATGACTTCAATGACTTACAACCAAAATTCCCAGCTCAATTATGATCATAAGTCAAGGAGTATCTGTAATATATTAAACATACAAATGCATTGTTAAAGCTATTGAGATTGTATAAATGCAAAAACTATTACAGTAGCTCAGTGTTGATTGTTAGTGTATGGACACTCGGTGTGCACCAGTGCCTTGTGGCTATGCCAAGTATCAGCATGTATTTAAAAATGCCCACAGTGCCAGCAATAGCCACCTTAGTTGGGAGAAGTAAAGTCTGGACATGTGGAAGGATCTAGAGCTGAAGATAGCAATAGCAATAACACTTAGACTTATATACCACTTCATAGTGCTTTACAGCACTCTGTAAATCAGGGGTGTCAAACTCAATTTCATTGAGGGCTGCATCAGCATTGCGGTTGCCCTCGGGGCTGGGTGGGTGTGGCCAGGTTGGGTGTGGCCTACTAGGTGGGCGTGGATGGAGTGGGTGTGGCCTACTGGGTGGGCATGGCCAACTCTACATCGTTTGCGTCAAGGGTGCCTGTGGGGGCCTGGGCAGGAGTAGGACAGATCTGAGGGTCTCTGGCAGAAGGGGGTTGGACCGGGGCAAGCGCCAAGGCATGGTCCATTTCTTCATTCCTCACAAAGAGTGACACCTCCCCAGCATGCACCCAGGGGGCGGGGCCAACACGGCAGGGGCTGGTTCCTCGCTGTTTCAATCTAGATGGCCTTGTGGAGCTAAGACTGAATGCGTTTCAGCATAGATGGCCACCACAAAATTGTACATTGGCTCCCGGCCAGCCTGGGCGAGGGCCAAGGCAGTGGGGACCGTTCCCTCACTGTTTCCAGGATGGCTTCGCGGGCCACATGAAACCACTTTGTGGGCTGCATCCGGCCCCCGGGCCTTGTGTTTGACATGTCTGCTGTAAATGGTTTACAGAGTCAGCATATTGCCCCCAACAATCTGGATCCTCATTTTACCGATCTTGGAAGGAGGGAAGTCTGAGTCAACCTTCAGCTGGTCAGAATCGAACTCCTGGAGTGAGCAGTGAGTTAGCCTGCAGTACTGCATTCTAACCACTGCGCCACCACAGATAGTTTTTATTCTTGAGATTGTATGACTGATGCAGCACTGTGCCCATTTAAACCTCATGTTTTTCTTCTATTCACAGATATCATGAGAGAATGTTATTTTCAGTTTCTTACAAAAAAAAAGTTTGCTCAGAGACAAGAGAGCAGAAATGCTTTTAGAAGTGATTCTCTGTATGTTTTTTTCCCCTGTAAGCAGGTGGTGCTGCTTACAGAAGGATTAAATTCCCGAGCTGTTTTTATGTTGGAGTTAAACACATCTTTAGAAGCTGTTATTGACAAAGTTAGGTAAGCAGTAGAAAGACAGTGTATCACCACTATTTGAAATGAAATAGATATGAAAGTGCTTGTTACAGGCTTATGTGTATTGAATATTAAAAGAAGGGGACAGGCCTCTTTTAAAAAAATAGACATGCATGTTTGTCTTGGTATGTAGAAAACAAACACAGTAGGTAACATATTATTATAGAAGTTCATACATTTTAAGTTGTGTCCTAAAACAGAAAGAACTAATGGAATCCATTCATCATTTGTTTAGTATGATTCCTAATTATTACAGTGAATCAAATAGAAGTTTAAATTATGTGTTTTCAAATATGTTTTCATAATCTGTAATATTTATGTTGGTTTTTCTCTGGCAACGTATAAGTGGAACTTTCACTGTTTTTAGTGAACATCTTCATTATTTCAGAATCAATTTTATAAGAAAAACATTGTTGTATTTTATCTCTCAAATTTTAGAAGTACAGATTTATGCTATCTAGCTATGAAAAATATTACATGAAAAGTATTAAGAGTTCTAATGCAATACAATGATTTATAGCTCTTTCCTTAGCACTGAAGGAACTGCATCAAAAGCAATCATTCCACATCCAGAACTTCTTCAAATAATTGAGATGTGCCAGACAATGAGGTACAAACTGCAGAGACATCAGCAGGTGAGTTTTGATAGTATGAGGAATCTATTTATATGAAGAATTCTTTTCAATTAATGGACCAGCGGCGTCTACTAGATTGATTAAAAAAGTCAAGATGGTGATTGAATTTGTGTGATCAAAGTCCTAACTCTTTTCTTATACAAGTGCAACACATTGTATTGATGTAAAAAGAAGGCAGGTTTTCACCCATGCAGTCAAGGCTGCCATTTGACTTTAGTCAGCTGATTAAAAGATTATAAATAGGACAACGAGAAGAATACACTGAAAAGTTATATATTTTAACTGCAAATAATCATGTTGCTTTTTCAAAAGTTTAAAAATTTTCATATCGTGTAAGAATGCAAATTTTATTTATGCTGGGAGAAATTTCCTGTTACTGTATTATATAACTTGATCAGTTCATAAATTTTTGCCAAAGCTGTGGTATCAAGCTGCCACAGCAATGGTTTGTCTATGGTTCTTTGTCATATCTCTTCAGGGATTTGAAAAACACATTTTCATTTTCATTTTGCTTAAAGCAAAAGCCCTAGCCAAGCTATAGAAAATGTAAATGCCAATGTAAACGATCAAGACACATTTTTCTGGGCTGGCATTGTTGGCTGCCAGCAAGAAAGATAGAAAGATGGATGCCTCCCATAGTTCAGTGATATGTGGACTCAGGAAGAATTATTAGAAGAAAAGAATCATTTTTACCAATATATTAAGATGGCACCAGTAAACATAATCATAGGCTTAATATAGACTGAGGCCAGGATTCCAATAAACAAGCAACAAATCCAAGGGATCAATATTGGATATTAATCTTGCCACAACATACAAGATTGTCAGGTTATGTGCAGCAGTGCTCAAAATCCATCACATGATGACGTTGGGCTTGCGCTTGAAAATCAACATTATAAACTAGACTTGCATGTACCTAGTTTGCCATATTAGGGCATTTTATAATCTAAATAGTCTCTCACATATAGTACCATATATAAAGAACTATTTATGTTCCACCATAGCCTTACAATGCTCTCATGCTGCAATCATGTGTACTTATTGAGCCATTGGTGGTGAAAATATATAGCAAAGTGGACCACTGGGATTGTTGTAGAATCTGGTTCCCATTTTAACATCATCAACTAATATATTAGTAGACTTCATTTTCAACTCTATTTATATTGTTATAATGGAGCTGATTCCTACACTAAAACTGTTCACTCAAAACTAATTTGCTGCTTGTTGAGAAATACATAGTTAAATATAGTGTTCCTTACTTAAGCGTGAATGGCAGATTAAAGAAGGGGTTCAGGTGTAAGAATTAGATGTTCAGATTGCCTTGGTGCCATCCTCATTAGTAAGTCTTTATGCATTGGCAGCCATTGTTACAATAAAAGTTCTAGCATTCAACATTTCTATATTTTGTAACTCTCTCTGTCTCCCCATGTATTCAAATACTTGCAGTTTTGCATTATTGTACTATTTGTTCTTAAAATAAATTGCAGTATTATTGCTGCATTTTAAAATTCTAAACAATTGTACTATTATAAGAATGGGAAATCAGTGATCAACTGCAATACAAAATGAACCAGCAGGCAACGGCATATAATGTGGAACCATGCTCTGATGTACAGGAATAATCTGAATATATGTTCTTGCCTTTTTTCCCCCTTTGGTTCTGTCCAAATACTGAACAAGAATGTTTGTTTATTTGTTTGTTTGTTTGTTCATTCATTTATTCCTTCCTTCCTTCCTTCCTTCCTTCATTATTCATTTAGAATTGAACATGAGCAAGAGTCTCTTTACCTTTTATGTTCACTTAATATTTTGAACACCTAAAGAATAAAGCTGTAGATAAAACATATGTATTGTTAAAAGAGAAAAAAATACGATGACTTTCAAAATTTTCATGTTAAAAGTCAAGCACTTGAAGTTGGCATGGAAGTGATAAAAAAAAACTTGATTCCTGAATTTGGGTGGGAGACTTAATTTTGCAAAGTGTAAATTAAAATAATTGTAAAACTAATAAAAGCTGGATACAATTGAACAAATAATAATAAATAAAGTGACTTTTGCCCCTCCCAACAGCACAAACCATGAATACCTCAGGCAAAGTGAAAAGCATTTATTAAGTGTGTACAGTATGTGTGTGTGTTTGTGTCAAGTCTTTATAAAAGATAAAAAGAACAAATGATACTAAAATCAGTATATGTGATGCATCAGAAAGCAGTCAACCAAACAATAAAACTTATTAATTAGATACAAAAATTAAACAATAGAAAGCAGTGATCCTAGATAACATCCCATAAAGGGCAAATGTATGGGTTATATCATCTTTTCCAGTTGAGTTTGCATCTTTCTTAATATTTCCAAGTGTATCCAAGATCTTCCAGAATATGCTTCCCTATTATTTAGTTTCTGAGAAAGCTAGTTCTTGCACATAAAAGAAAAAAAACAGTTTGGGGTAAAATAAAAACATGATTTCCTGAACGAATGCTATTGTTATCTTTATTAAAAAGCTAATAATGAAGCCGAAAATTCTAGGGAACAATTTGGGTCTGCTTCAGATTGATTACTTTGAAGTGAGGGTAATTAGACGTTAATAAGAAATTAGATAAGTAGAAGTGGTTAATTGGTAAACTTCTGTTAGAATAATTGGTTTTGGTATTTTGATTAAAGAAGCTAGATACAAATTTAACTTTCAATTTTTTTACATTAATGAAGTAAAGCATTTTGATAATTAAAAGAAGGAAACTTTCTTAGAGGCTATACATATTTATAAACTTAAAATTTAAATTTTAAATTAAATGTAATTTAATTCAGCCAGTTTAAACCATCATAGTTTATTTATTTAATTCAGCACACATACTTGTTTTAAAATATCGTATTGTGTGTTTCAGGTTTCTGATCTGTCAAAACTTGCATTGCCTTGGACACTTGGAGGGAATCTTACTGTCCAGCCGATAACCCTTTTGGATGTTTGTTATGGCAAAATAGAGAATTTAAATCTTAGATACGTGGTAAGGCTTTAATAACATGAAAGTTATTTTTATTTGCTTCCTAGTTTTTGCATTGTGTAAATGTCATTTTATTCTTTTCAACCCAATGAAATGTTGGAAAGAAACAATGTGAAAAGGCTCATCACTCTATCCATCTGTCTGTCTATCAACAGAATAACTCTGGAAATAACACGGATTTGGCAGAGCATTAGTTGACAAAAGAAAGACCAGGGTGGAAATAAGCTGGATTTGTCAGGAAGCTGTAAAAAAAAAACATTTTAGAATTTTACCAGTGCCACATATCAAAGAAAAAGTTGAGTGTGTGAGTGAGTTTCTGTCTATCATCTATCTAATTTATATAGTTGCTCTTCTCACAAACATATGATTCTCACCAGCATAAAACAAATCTAAGCAATATCAGTGGAATGCTGCTAACTACTCCATTCACCCTTTCTCCTGGTCACTTGACCTAGAGTGGAGCATATGTGTTCACTGCCCCAACACACACAGATATGCAACACGAGGGTAGAGAAGCACCCACAAACACATAGATGCAATGTTTATGCAGCAAACTGATTACTTACATATAAACAGAGGGAACCTGTTTGTATCTTTCCACATGAGAACTTCGTGTGTGTATGCACAAATGCACACATGCGCACGCAGATATGCACACACGCTTGGCCTTATTAGAACCTACGGTCATACAGAGACAACAACATATACATACACCCTAAGGAGAATGAATACAGCAGACATTTTTTGTTACATTTTAAAGAAATACAATACATGCATACAAATGGCCACCAATGGTAAAGAGCCTGGAAAGAAGTCCAGAAGCCATGCTTGCATGATTTCCTTACCCATTTATTATTTATTGTATATTCAAATATGTATGCCAATTAGTATTAATAATAAACATTTTTTTTCTTTTTACTTTTGAGTTGTAGATGCCGAAGCCTTGATGATTTGGGTTTTGTAAAAAAAAATCATTAAAATTGAATCAAATTTTTTTAACATCAAAGCATTCTAATATAATGGCAAAATTATGTACCTGATATAATTACTTGGATTAGATCTCCTAAGAAATGACTTATGCAAGCATTTTTTTCATAAGCAGTGATATAAACCGTATGTAATTAAAACAAAATGAAAAAGCACTTTCTTTTAAAAAGTCTGGATTATGCACTGATGCCAACACATTTGTTCTGCATGTGGTGCCTGAATACTCTAGCACAGAGGTCCCCAACCTTTGGGGCACCAGGGACCGGTTCCATGGAGAAAGGTTTTTCCGTGGACTGGAGAGTGTGTGGTTTTGTGTGCTGCCTGCATCCCACAGATGGGGCTTTGCTTGTTTGTGCGGCCCGGTTGCTGGCATGCCGCGGACCGGTACTGGGGGTTGGGGACCCCTGTTCTAGCATATGCATTGTAGGGTAGGTATTTTGTTCATAGCTGTTTCTTTCACCTAGCTCTGAGTCCACAAGTATCATGAAGAATTAATTTGTGCTCTGGCTTAGTGTAGAAAAATGCTAATGCAGCTGGAGGTTTGATCTGAATCACAACTCTGTAGCAGTAGTTCAGGGATCAGATTTAAATGTACCATGAGCCCCCGTGCCAGGGATAGTCATTTGTGACTAAGACAAGCAGTGATGCATTGCTTTCCAAACGCTCAGTTTTTGTTAATTATCCACAAAATGCCAGTTCTTGATTTTGGAGTGGTAAGTGTGGAAAACAAAAGCAGGCCTTGATAGCTGACATGTAAAAGAAGAAAAGTGCATTTCAACCTCAGTAATGTATTGAAAGTGTCACTTTAAGAACCTGGACCGAAGCAAAATTGGCAATGACAGCTCCTGATTTCTACTGATCTCGCTTGAAAAACATTGAGAAAGGTGTCTCTGCAAAGAAGCTTCCTTGTTGAATTATTCATGAAACTCACTTCATCATATGGAGCACCTGCTGAGAAGAGCTTGCATTGCATATTAACATATGTGCATCAAGCTTTCTTGTTAAACCCTACTTCCACCGTGCCATTTGCTGTGACAGTCATAATACTCCATGTTAGGGGCAATGACAAATAGAAGGCTTACATTGGCGAACATTTCACATTTTTAATTAGCTTTGGGAAAAGGTCACCTTGTAGAAATATGAAAAGAGTGACATTCATTCTTTTAGTACACCTTTGTAATTCTAACATTTGTTTTTTTTCATCTCGGAGTCTACTCTTAAAATTTATGGAGCTTTCATACTAAAGAAAGTAATCTAAGTAATAACGCATTTATTTAGCATTACAATCAATTTAAGTGAGATTTTCTATTAAAACATTGTATCTAAAACTACTGTATGTTACTTCATCTCTCAGTTTTTAATTTTATTATTAGGATATATAGGTACGATTTATAGTTGTTTTTGTTACTAACAAGTAATTCAGCGTGCCTTCCAATATATGTTTTTAAATATTCTGTGTAATTAAGTAGTGTGGGCTGTGTATCTGAAGTCTATTGTTCTTTTTCTTTACAAAGCAAAATCATTCACTGTTTGAAAAGTAGAATTAAATATACCATATTTATGTGCGGTATATAAATATACCATACCATAGAATTAAATATACTATATGGTATATGGTAAATATGGTATATTTAATCCCCTATCTTACTTCTTTCAAATGAAATCACTGATCAGCAAAGGACTGTCTCTGATCACACCAGATGATCCTGATTGAACTGAATTGCACAGAATTAGTAATATTTCTACTTTCTCAAATACATATTCTGTAAGTCTGGCCTTTTACATTAATTATGACATTCCTTGTTAAAATTACGGGCTATTAGAAAAAAGTGAACTGAAGCAACTAAATGAGCACATGCATGCAAAGACAGTCCATGGTAATATCTAAGCAGTTGTTTGAGCCTTGCAAAAATGTGGCTGCTTTAATAATTTGGAAAGAGGTGTTTTGTATATGTACTCCTGCATGTTTGATGTGGTGTTTTTGAAAGCATGTTGACAGTTATTTTGGTTGAGTTCCTGTTTTGCTGATTACTAATAAAATTGCTTCCATTGATCACTAGGGAAAAGAGTGAATTTTCTTTTTTTAAAATATCTATATATAATTTGTATACATGTTTATAAAGCACAATACATGTGTTTTAGGAAAGATAACTTGTTTTTAAAGCTCAGCTATTACACTGCATAATTATCAAATGTATCATTACTTTAGCCATTGTCTATCCATTGCAGGATGAAGGCCTCTTCCTCATGTTTCCAACCAATATGGTTCTAAGCCAGGCGTCCTCAATCTTGGCAACTTTAAGACTTGTGGACTTCAACTCCCAGAATTCCTCAGCCAACTTTGCTGGCTGAGGAATTCTGGGAGTTGAAGTCCACAAGTTTTAAAGTTGCCAAGGTTGAGGACCCCTGTTCTAAGCTTTCTTTTGCCAATAGGGCCTGCAATACTTGCTGATGTCGCCGATCCATGTTGTTTTAGGTCTCTTTTGCGGACGCTTTTTATCAAGTGGGACCCATTCTATGACTGTTTTGGTCCACCTGCCATCAGTTTTTCTTCCTATGTGACCATCCCATTTCCATTTCAATTCTTTTACTCTCTTGATGATATTGTGTAGTTTTGTTTGTTCTCTTAATCCATGTGCAGGTCTTTCTATCTTGTCTTGTAATGCTGAGTACGTATCTTTCCATGGTTTTTTGCGCCTCTCGTAGCATTTGTATCAATTGTGAGGTTAGTGTCCATGTTTCACCGACATATGTTAGAGTAGGTAGCACACATTGATCAAAAACTTTTCTGGCATAGGGGAAGGTTGTTCTTGAAAATTATGCTTAGCTTGCTGAATGCCTGCCAACCACATTTAATACGCCATTTAATTTCCTTTATTGTATCAACTTCCACTGAGATCTGTTGGCCAAGGTATATGTAATTGTCTACTGCGCCTAGCTCTTCTCCAGATATATATATATTTTCTTTGTTGAATTTATTAAACATAATCTGGCTCTTCTTCAGGCTTATTTTTATTTATTTATTAAATATATATTTAAGGCAAATATTTATTTTGTGTTAGCATCCAGTTCCCTGTGCTTGACATGACATATTAGCAAATATATATGCTGGCACCTGTTTGAGTATAAAAACTTGTTTAACTTCTATAATGAAGGCCATAGAGAAAATTTATTGGTTAATGTGAAATGTCTGTTCTTTGCTTGAAATGAAGTAGTGAGAATCTTTCAGCAACAAGGTATTGGGCAAATAGAAGAGGCTCTTGATTGAGCAATCTTCTGCTATAACAGGGGTCCCCAACCCCCAGTCCGTGGACCAGTACCGGGCCACGGCATGCCAGCAACCGGTTTGCATAAACAAGCAAAGCCCCATCTGCGGGATGCAGGCAGCACACAAAACCACAGACCCTCCAGTCTGTGGAAAAAACCCTTTCCAGGTAACCGGTCCCTGGTGCCCAAAAGGTTGGGGACCTCTGTGCTATAAGATGAAGCATGATCCTGTTTTTTGTCCATTGTTTTTCATCTTTTGTTTGCTCAGACCAGAAACTCCAATAATAAAATGAAATATTTTGAAATTATTTGGAAATATTCTCTTAAGCATCAGGCCAAGGGAATAATTAAAATAGAATAAGATAACCTTTATCGTCATTTTTTACTGTGGGCACAACAGCACACATCAAAAATGAAATTTAGTTGCCCGCTCTCAAAGTGAAACACATACATGACACAGACCTAAACATACTATGAACAACATATGTATAGACCCACACCCATACATATACGTAGCAAATAAATATTAAATACTGTCCATCTTGAATATATAACGGAAGGAAGAAGCTTGAGAGTTGCCAAAAAGGAATGTTTCTGTCATTACAAAAATACATTTCAGAGGGCATTTTAATATTTATCCCATATTTATATACTATCTATCCAATATCTGCAAAATACCAATATTTTAAACCTGATAAAGACTTTCCATTAGAAGAGGAAGTTATATTTGCTTATTTCATACTTGCCTTGCAGTTCATTGTACTTTACTATTTTCATGAAAGGCTGCGGAGCCATTTAGAACTAAATGAAAATAGCTTTCGGATTAGAGGACAGGAGAAGAAATAGACAAAAATGGCCTTCTCTCCATTTATGCCAGTGGGAATAGCCTTTCTCAGACATAGTCTTTATTGCTATTTCCTGTTTTCTGTACAAAGAAATAAATACTTAGTTATCTTTAACTAAAGCTCCAGAATAACATTGTTTGGACTGGATCTGATTCAGTTTGCCTTTCTTATTATATATAGTCTATTTTCTTTTTTGAATATTAGAATCGATCAATTGCCTCATTTTTAAATATGCATGAATGGAGTATGTGTTTGTGTGTGTATGTATGTGTGTAATTAGCATGTATCTTCTATTGTCCTATCTGTATATGTCTATATAGAATATGTGTATTGATGATGTAGTTTTCTCTACTTTGAAATACATCTGTTTCCATTGGTAGTTTTCTATACGCAATAAGCGATATCAATTGTAAGTAACATAATTACAACTAATAGTGGGGAACATCAGTGATTAAAATGAAATCTTCAGTACGGTTCATAAAAAAAAGCTCATTCACATTATGGTGTTCAAGCAAGAAAAAGATCCATGGGCAGCACTTTTTTCTCCTTGGGTTATTATTTTAAATATATTTGTTGTCTGATATATCTTCAGAAGGGATGCTAGTCCATTTTTTGTTTTTGTTTTAGCAGCACTTTCCTTACATTTCTATGCCTTTGTCTCTAACTTGGATAAAATTCTAATCTCTTTATGCTGATTACTTCAAATGAGCTCTTACAATGTCTTTTTCATTTTCACTTGATGAAAACATGCTGTGCAGTACTTGCAAGTAACAACTGGCTAAAAGTTTAAACAGAAAAAGAACATAAGATTCTGTGGTAGGTAAAAGATAAACATTCTCATGTTTATACTTTTCTAATACTCTGTTTAGAAGTTTGCAATTTTTAATCTCTCCCTCCCTTTTACTACCCTCGCTCTAAGCTGTTCTTTTGGAAAAACAATCAGTCCTGTTTGGAGGGTGGCTTTGATCTCTGTTTTCTTATTTATTTTAAGAAGCTAGAAGTCTGGCAATTTGTTGTGTTTTTGACTTTGTCAGATCATGCCCCCTCAACACATGTTCTCCGCAGATGGCTTGGAAAGGGGGAAAAAAGGCACAGCAAAATGCCTGAAGTTTCACGTTTCACCAAGTTCCCAAGATACATTTTTTTATATAAATGTCAGTGTGCTTGCTATTGTGCTTGCAGGTGCTCAGTGAGGCAAGTGGCCTTTCACTCAGCATAATTAGTTTGTTTTTATTTCCTCAGATGTTCATCATATTTGTCTTCTTTGTTTGGTTTTGTTTTGTTTTCACAGAGTGCTCTTGAAGGAAAACTGAGCAAATTGTGGAGACACCTGCTTGCCATGAGGCAAAATTTGAGTTTTTTGCTTGCCCCAGGACAAGCGTCCTCTGAAGTAGCTCTTCAGATTCTACCAACTGTTGTTTATGCTCGCCTGATAAATCAAGTAGTTCAGTGTCATCAGTCTGTGGAGGAATGTTGCAATGATTTGCTCACTTTGACACTTCTAATACCTTCAGCTCCTTGGGTGAGTGTGAAATATGATATATTGAAAAGTGGCACTTTTTAAGTACTACTCCAAATACTGCTGGAATAATCAAAAGTCTTTTGGAATCAGGTTTTAGTCTTATTATATTCTCCAATGTTATTTGACCTGAGACAAAAGGTGTCATTTTCTCAGAGACAGAGAGAAAATGTAACATAAATTACTTATTTGTATTATCATTAGCTAAAATGCTATTAGTCCTTAGTATGATTTAGTAATCATGGCTTGGTAATGTTTGTGTAACATGACATCATTGCAAATTATGATGCATGCAATGTCATTTGCCCCCCTTGGGCCCCCTTGCCCCCCTTCATAGTCTTTTTCGTCTTCCTTTCCTTCTCTCAAATGTAGCATTCCATACCAAATTTCATTTTAAGCATGAACTAGAATTTCAGAGTTTGCTACTCAGGCTCCTCTCTTATGTTATATGAGCAATCTAAAAGTAATGGCACAATATTTTCTTTCCATATTAGAGCTGCTCTGAAAGATTGGGCAGCACTGGAGCATGCAGGACCTCTGGTGTAACTTCTACAGTTATTCCATTCTTGCAGGGAGGAATGGTGTTAGATTCTGACTCCATGAAATGGAGAATTTGATATCAAGGACAAAAGTGTTCTTTAAAAGAACTTTAAAAATGGGCTCACCTTTAGAGATGTAGTCCTTTTTAAGGATTTTGAAAGTGGAAAGATAATTAGATAATACTTTGAAAAAACCATTACACCTGAAATACTTTGGACAACTGCATAAGTAATACACTGAAAAGGCACTTTGAAAATGATTTCTTTTCTTTTTTCATTTGAGAACAATGTGCCTACTCTTTTCGTCTTTTTATACGAAAACATATATTGTATCGGTATTCATTTATTTCACTTCATGCCACTAAAGTATCATCTGCCTCAGTAATTTGTCTAAATCTTGTTCTGTGGTCTTTGTTTTGAAATCTGAGGACGCAGGTTTTATGTCCTCAATAAATACTTTTTAACTGAACGTGTATCAGTATCTTCAGAGTTTTAGTTCATTGGAAGCTTGATGGAATAGAAATAAGCATTATTTTCTGAGCAGTGGCATGCTATAAGACATAATCTTTTCTAATGTTATTAAACAGCATTTTAAAGAAAATGAATTCATTTGAATTAATAAAACCCCATTTTTAGAAACAGATTCTCTAACATAGTGCAAGGTTTCCAATGGCGTTGACATTTTTAGATACCAGTACACTTTGAAACTGTTAAAGCAGATGTTCGACATCTGCTCCTCTAGAAAAAAAATGGACTACTAGTAAAGGAGTAAATTGAGTCTTTCTGCAAGATGCAATTTTAGTGTTTTATCTTAATGTACAAACAATATAAATAAATATCTCAGTGCAGGAAGTAGAGTCTTCCAAAAAAAGATTAGGAAACTTTCAAATGTTGTGGCAAGGTTCCTTTAGATTCTTATGGCATTGAGATAAATTAGTGCAATGGTGGTGAACCTATGGCACACGTGTCGTTGCCCCAGCCTCGCCTCCCCCCATGACCTTCTCCTCTCCAGCAGCCCCCCTGAAGGAGAGTCACCCCTGAGCGTGGCCCACCCGGATCAGCGCAGCCAAGGACATGGCAGCCAGGCAGTGCCCTCACACCCCATCATGCACAGTTGATGCTGCAGGGCGCGAGCAGAGGGCATGACCGCCATAGCGCTGGTTGGCTGCCTGGGCGATCTGCGGCGGGCCCTGGAGGCAGTGAGTGGCCCTGTGGGCAGGTGGGGTGGAGGATGGGGGGGTGGAGCAGGGGTGCGGCAGGGGGTGGAGCGGGAGTCGGGCCAGTTTTGGGGCACTTGATCTCTAATGGTTCGTCATCACTGAATTAGTGTGTCATGAAATAAGTTTTTTTTTCCAAGACAGTAGAATTTATATGCAGATTAAAATGTTCAATTAGCCATAGGAAACTTACCGTAGATGTATCTCAAATGAATAGCATTCAGGAAAACTATGGTAACTTACTTTGAAATATTCCTAATTATTTTTATTTATCCTTTGAGTTTTTAGTAGGTTCAATGAAAGTTTTATAGTTAAACTTTAATTGAAAAATGCTACTAAAGTAGAATTAAAATGGCTCTCTTTCTTATTTCATCGTTTTTATTAGATAATTAGGAATCCAAGCCAACTGTTGTTAATTTGGGGGTTCAGCTCTATTGAATATAAAGAGATTTAATTCTCAAATAATATTAGTTAAGATTGTATTGCACTATTTTCTTTAAGAAAAATAAAATAACATTTTGTTATAAAAATAATTACAGGTATAAACAGTTACAAGAATTGTAATATTGAAAAGCTTACTATATTCCAGAAGTAATAGTAAATTGACTTTTGAAAGACTAACTCTGTATATTTCTTTCATTTATTACTGACTCCGTTATGTTATTGGTTCTTCTCTTTCACAAGTTCAAGAGTGACCACCAATATGTACTGTATAGCTAAAATAACAAAATAAAATTCCAAGATTTTCAGAAACATATATTAAAAATCAATTTCCCTCAATTTTGGGAAAGATAAAGTGAATATGCTTCTTGTTCTAGTCTGAAACAGTTTCAATATATTCTCAATTTATTTCATTGAATATCTTATTTCTGGTCTATTTCTGTAAAGGAAAGACTTAAATTGCACCAAATTTATGGTGAATTTCTAATACCAGACTTGAAAGTGATCTTTGCTCTTTTTTCTTACACAAGAATTGAACACAAATACTTATAATTAAATGATTTTGAAAAGAAGTGCAAATAAATGTATTGGTTCCATACCTCTTTGTAATAAAAGCTACAAGGTAGAATATTATCCCTATTTGTCTCCATCTCCAAATATGAGACCAGTTTTCGGTACCATAACTTTATTTGGATTCTAAAATGCTATTTTCCTGGGAGAAATATTGAATCTCTTCTGTTTTAAATCACAATCCATGTTATGTATTTTCCCCAAGCTGAATACCAAACAGAGAATAACATGCGTTTAGAATACTTTAAAAAAATAGCTGTAAGGAGGGAAGGAAGTATTTGAAATATGTCATAGCTACTTGGAGAAGATGCAAATGCCTTCAGACAAAAATGCCCTTTAGATATGAATGTGTAAGAACTTGTTTATCCTGAGGTTCAGGCTAGTAGATGCTGAAAACACCATCTCAATGTTCAGGAAAAAAAATCAATAGAAGTATCAGTTCTGGGGTGATATGGTGAATGCACAGGTATAGGTGGTACCTTACTCAATAGTAGTAACTGTGAGAGGGATCTCGGAGTCCTAGTGGACAATCATTTAAATATGAGCCAACAGTGTGCTGCAGCTTCCAAAAAGGTCAACACAGTGCTAGGCTGCATTAACAGAGGGGTACAATCAAGATCATGTGAAGTGTTAATACCACTTTACAATGCCTTGGTAAGGCCACATATGGAATACTGCATCCAGTTTTGGTAACCACAATGTAAAAAAGATGTTGAGACTCTAGAAAGAGTACAGAGAAGAGCAACAAAGATGATTAGGGGACTGGAGGCTAAAACATATAAGGAACGGTTGCTGGAATTGGGTATGTCTAGTTTAATGAAGAGAAGGATGAGGGAGGACATGATAGCAGTGTTCCAATATCTCAGGGGCTGCCACAAAGAAGAGGGTGTCAAGCTATTCTCCAAAGTGTCTGAAGGCAAGACAAGAAGCAACGGATGAAAACTAATCAAAAAGAGAAGCAACCTGGAACTAAGGAAAAATTTCCTGACAATTAGAAAAATTAATCAGAGGAACAACTTGCCTCCAGAAGCTGTGAATGCTCCAATACTGGAAGTTTTTAAGAAGAGACTGAACAGCCATTTGTCTGAAATGGTATAGGGTTTCCTGCCCGAGCAGGGGGTTAGACTAGAAGACTGCCAAGGTCCCTTCCAATTCTATTCTTATTACTATTATTACTATTATTATTATTATTATTATTATTATTATTATTATTATTATTATTATTATTATTATTATTATTATTATTATTATTATTATTATTATTATTATTATTATTATTATTATGTATTTGTGTTTGTGTTTGTATTTTTATAATTTATTTGTATTGTGTATGGGTTTTGTATAGTTTTACCTTTTAACATTGTAAGCCATCCAGAATTACGTTCAGGTAAGATGGGCGACCAATAAATTTAGTAAATAATAATAAATATAATTTTTACTTCAGATACAAAATTTCTGAAGGTGTCTAGATTGCTATAATAAATATAAGCCACCTGCAAAGCACCTGCCTGCACAAAATTTCTCTGTAAATATGAGTTATGAGTTAAAGAGACATGTATATGTATATAGTTATTTGTAAAACTGTTTTTTGTATACCTGTAATCAGGGCTTTTTTTCTCGGAGAAAAGGTGGCGGAACTCAAACCTGGCCACGCCCTCATCAAACCCTAGGACCGCCCCTTTAGAGAACAGGAATGCAAGTAAAATTTGGGAGGGGCTATTTCCGGTGTGGGAGGGGCTATTTCCGGTGCGGCCGGCCCGGAAAAAGGTGCCGGAACGCGGTTCCGCCGCGTTCC